AAAAAAAAAAAAAAAAAAAGAATAAAAACGAAAGTAAACAAACAAAAAAGATGAAGCAAATCACCACTCCAGCAGCAGCAAATGCTTGTCAAAATGAAGACATACAGCAGGAACAGAGCTAGACCTTGGGAAGGGCACTGCTATCTTATAGACCTTGGACCTTGCTTTCAACAAAGACTGTCACAGAGGTGGTCTACACAGGTGATGTTCTGTCAACTTCAGATCACGAACAAATAGCACCGAAGCCAAAAGCTGGCCTCCGGGACTCAAAATGAGGCCAATCCTTCACCTTGGCTCATTGTGGAAACTACTGGCCAGGAAGGGAACACACTAGGCAGGAGGCCATCCAGACCCAGCTCTGAGCTGGCAGACCCCCTCTCTGCTTACAGTGACCTACAGCAGATATGGTGACTGCAGTCTCCTCCCAACCACTGCGGGACACATAAGCAGGGGATGCCAAAAGCTTCCCAGTCCCCAGTTCCAGGCCCAACCTGCAAACCTAGAAATTTCCCCCACATTCTGCCACCTCAAATTACTTTGAATTGTCTCCACCATGGAAAGTAACTTTTAAAAGCTTTTATGAATGCCTTGGAAAAAATGTTTTATTAAATGTTTTTAAAAAAACTATCAATACATTTGAGAACATTTGCAGCAGCGATCGAAGCTCTGCCTACCTTGCCACCTTCCTGCTGGAGAGTCGCTTGGCTGGGCTGTGCAAAAACCAAACAAACAGGAAAATCATGTCAGGGAGCAGAGGAACAAGAGGAAGCAGGAAACTCAGGCTAAGGAGATAGCAGGGTGTAGGCATGCAGCCCCCTACCCCAGGCAAGCCCCATGCATAGAATACCCACTCCACAAAGACAGGGTTACAACATCCTTTGTTATGGTCTCTGCCCAGCCCCCTTACTTTACCCGTAAGGCCCTATAGATGAAGTGGACTAAACTGTAGTCCAAAGCTGATACCACTGCCTGCACCAGGCCATCCACCAGCCAATGTCATCTCAGATGTTTCTAAAGCCAGATTCACCCTGCCCCTGATGCATGCTTGGCCACTGGAGGCCTCCAATGAAACAGGACATAGGCCTACCAGTGACAGGAAGATCTGTCATAGCTTTAATTTAGGCACTGACACTTCACATTCCCAACACCTACATGGCAGAAATTTAGATGCTCCTTCCTAAAGCCATTCTAGGGTGAATGTGGTCAAATGCACAGAGGATGTAGCTGTCTGCAAAGGCAGAAGGGCCACATGTACCTCTTCCCTATTTCATTTTTTTTCGGGTGTGTATGTGTGTGTGTGTTTGAGATAAGGGTCTATGTAGTTCAGGTTGGTCTTGAACTCACTGTGTAAACCAGGTTTGGCCTTGAACTCCCAGGGATCCTTCTGCCTCAGTGTGTGCTACCACACCCAGCCCACTCCTCTCTTTTCTGAGTGCTACTTCCCGGACAAACTATGAGCCTCAGGGTGAAGACATGTTTTCAAGCACAAGAACCACATGCCAGGAACTCATAGCCTCCAGTCTGTGTACTCTCCTTTCTTGCCACTCTGCTTAGACTCATCCTTCAGCTAGCTCCCTTTGGGAAAGTTCGATTCCCAGCCAGGGTTTTTTGGTTTGGTTTTGTTTATTCTTTGCAATGTAACACTTTGTCAGCAGAGGGCGCTGGAGAGACGGTGCAGGTGCAGCAGCAGGGCCCCCCACCCCAGGCCTCCTCCCGTCTTTGGCACATCAGTCAGCAGCACCAGAAGCCAGTAACCACCCCTCTTTTCTCCTTGACCAGTGCTGGCTAGGGTGTCTCTGCCCAGACCTCTCTCGGTGAACAGTTTTCCTGCCAGCCAGAGTGCAATTTTCCAGCAAGTCTTAGAAGATGACACCCAAGTCCTAACAGTCCAGCACCCACAACATCTGTCACCCACTTCTTGTGATCTCCAGTTCCTGGCAGGATACACACCCTGCTCCGGGTGAGTGTGGCTCTCTCCGGTACCTTGACCTCAGGCCTGCAGGGTGGTTGCTTCCCATCACTCCTGAGTTCTTGTGGTGGGTGCTCCAATCTGCCCTCCTCCTCCTTCATACACATTTTCCCTGTCTGATGACTGTGAAGCCCTCTCTACTAAAAGGGTCCCAACTAGCCCCAGGTACCTTAATGCAAGTCTGATTTCAGCCTAGAATCATAGATACTCCCTAGACGACAGGACAGACAGGTCAGACTGCTCAGCTCACTAGCTGACATCTCCTGGTCGGCAGTCCAGTGACACTTTTATAAATGGAAAAAATGTCCCTGAATAAGGTTCTGTAACAGATTTTTTTTTTTTAAATAGGGACTCCTACATGCCTGGGACATATTACAGCTGACAGTGTGTCCTGTGGTGACTGAACAGATGCCATCTATGACACTGGAACTCTTGGGCATGGTCTGAGTTAGATCCTTTCATCATCCACAAATTATGACCAAGCTCCTTCTTATGAGTGTCCCATGGAGACCACGAAGCTTGATTTATCCCCTTTATGAGAACCGAAGGGACTCAGGCTGTGCACCCTGGCTGAACAGATGCCTAACCCTGAGGGTGCCTAGGGAGAGGGGCACGTGGGCTGGTCTGAGGCCTGTAGGATTGCTGGTGGTGCTACGTCATATCCTAGTCTATTCTGCACATCCACAAGGCCCAGCAGAGATGAGGCAGATTCTCAGCATGGGAGGAGATCACTTTCATATCAAAATCTTCAGAGCGAGACAAGATGCATGCCTCTTTTCATGACAGGCCTGTATCCATTTCCATCACTGGCCAGAGGGTAAATCTGGACAGTCCCAGCCAGGCTGGGCCCTTCACCAAACACTGGACACAGTTGAAGACATATAGTTGGTGAGAACTGGTCTCCCATGAGGTATAATCACCAGAAGCCTCCAAGGACACCCCTCAAAGGCACCCTGGCTTCTCACCGGGATCCCTGGCTGCCCAGCTAGCTGAGGCCTCCCACCTTCTGCACCTTACTGGTGCTGCACAGAACACAGGAATGGTGAACATCATGTGCCAGGAGAGCAAGAGGCAGGACAGCAGTGCACAAAGCTGTGGCCCCAGAGGGCAGGGCAGACAAAGGCAGATGTCACAGGAAGCATGGACAGCCTGGACAGAATCCCAGTGTACTAAAACCTTCAGGATTATGTGCCCCCTTCCGCCACTTTTCCACAACCTCCCACCAGCATGGAGCTCAGAATGCCATTCTGAGCCCCTTAGCACTTGTGCCCAGCACAAGCCTGTGTGGTCACTTACCTCCTCTGCTTGGCCGGGCTAATGTGGAAAGCTCCACAAGGGCCCATCTCTGCCCCAGATCCTTCTCAGAATAGACACCCAGGGGACTGTTCATACCCCATGCTAAAACAAGATGCCTGGGGCATGTTGATGTGTGCAAACAACCCAAAGATGTTGTCTATGAATGTGTTTGTGAAGCTGTGAAGAGCCAGCAAGAGTTCTCTGGAGCACTGATGCAGCTGGGGTGGCCATTAGGTAGAGGAAGGAAAGGGCTGAGATGTTACTCAGGAGACAAAAAGAATTAAGACAAGGACTGCCAAGGGGAGCAGTAGGCACCGCAGGTAGACCAGTGCTGCAAAGCTGGGCGCCCCTGCAACTGGGGTGACAGATGCCTCACAAAGCCTAAGACCATGGAACACAAACTCCAATTAGAGAAGCTTTCCAGAAACAGCTCACAAATCTGGTTTTGAAGACCAATCTTTTAAATTTCCCAATTTTAGGGGCCAGGGATTTAGCTCAGTGGTTTTGACACCTGCCTGGCACACAGAAGGACCCGAGTTCAATCCCCAGTACACAAAAACCCCCAAAACCCAAGTTTATCTTATATGATAAGCTGAAGAAATCTTTTAATAAAACACAAGGAATATCTATCCTCTTTCATATCTGGGCTATTTCTTTTCTCGGAGACAGAAGCTAGCAAAGCTGCTACATTCACATAGGAGAGAGAGAGAGCAGCAAGCACAGCACACAGCATGCAGGGAGGGCTGGGCCCAGAAAGAGTCCCACCCTCTAGACACTTTCTTCTGTGGGAAGTTCCAGCCTGGCAGGAAGTCCCCAGAGTTTGCCAGGTCTGAGTGACCAGGGCAAGGGCACCTCAGGCCAGACCAGCAAAGAATCTATGACAGCGGGAGTTTTCCTCACCCTTGGAGGAACAACAACAGGGCCAGGCACTGTATCAGTTACCTATTCATCTCAAGATCATTCAGGCGGGCAGAGAGATCCTCAAGGCGGTTGATCTGTTTGTGGCACTGGCTACAGTAAAACTCAAAAGCCTCATCAGTGAGGATGCTGTGCAGCTTTGCAGCAAGCGGGTCGGAGCTAGAGAGACAGAAGTGTCAGTTCAGGACAGGGAAGGGTCTGTCAGGTAATCTGTGATGTCCCAGGAGGCTCGAGGACGACAGAATAGGTCCTGAGGAAAGCAAGCTGGAAGAGAATGAAGTGTGGAACATTCTGGCTGTCACTTCTGGACAGCTGTGAGCTCCTTCGCCATCACCATGAGAAGCCCCTTCACTAGGAGGAGACTAGGACACCTGCCATTTGAAGCAGTGGTGCTGGGGCGGGGGCTTGTGGTTCTGCTGCTGCACACACCTGCCCCCTTCTGGACAGTGGACGGAACAAGCACAGTCAAAAGCTTCATTGTAAAAGAAAACCTTGAGTAGAAGGAGGTAAACAAGTGCCCTGCTTTCTCCTCTGTGGAAAGCCTATTGAGAGCAATGTGTGTTTTCAGGTAGAGCTTACCTGCTGTACTATTTTAATAACTGCTTTAAAACCCACCAATACCAAGAACTATGTGTGAATGGTACTTTGCTAATAGCTTCATGCTTTTTAAAATGTGTTCTAAAAACTCAAAATTCTATTATCTGGCTGCATTAGCTGACCATACTGTAACTTCATTTCAGTGGTGCTCAGGGCACTGGTGGACAGGATGTATCTGCTACCAGCAGCTGAGCGGGAGGTAGCCTCATTCTGGGAGTAGGACCCATAGACTTTTGAAACTAATCCACACATTCACTTTTTTTCTTTGTTTTTTAAGACAGGGTCTGGCTATGAAGTTCAGACTAGCCTTGAACTCATATGTAGCCTAGGCTGGCCTCAAACTCAGAGATCCTCTTGCCTTAGCCTCCAAAGTACTGGTATTATAGGCGTGCACCACTATGCCCAACTCCACAGGTTAATTTAAAGGAAAACAGAAAAGGAAAAAAATACAGCACAGAATTATACTTTAGACTGAAAATAGTGGACAAGAGACAGGAAGAAACTATACCAACAGGAAGAGACTGCCACAGCAAGACTGAGCACTGGGCTCAGAAATGCCAAGTCCTGCTGGAAAGGCCCACTGCCTTCCACTACAGTTTCTCAGGACATACCCTGGGGAAGTGGGCACCTGGAGGACCCCACCTCATGGACAAGGGCAGCTTCAGCTTCAGGGGGGTACATAAGCAGGAGGGCCCCTGGCTCAGCCCATGGCCTTGCCTAGCCCTTCTGTCACTGCCCTCCCCAGGTCTAGGCCATGGCAACAACTGGGCAAGGGAAGAAGTTTACGGTTCCCGGTTTAGAGACTGTCAGCATCTGTTGTTTGCAGAGGTTAAGGAACTTCAGGAACACAACAATAAAAGCCCAGCATGGGTGGGCCAGCCAGTCAGGCTGGAGGCCCACTTAAGAGGCAGAAGTGTCCTCTGATGAGCACCAATAAGGGGCTGCCCAGGCCCCATCTGGATACATGTACACTCTGAATTCTGCCACGATCTCCTTGCGCAAAGCCCTGAGAAAAAAAGTGAGTGTCTGGCCCATTAGAGGGTATGGTGCAATTTATTCAAGATCAGTACTTTCGACAGAGTTCGGAGATGCCAGGGAATTATAAGGAAGTGAATCTAAAGACTTGCTTGTGACTTGAAAGCCTGCCTCAAAGTCACTCATTGATCATACAGTGATACTTGACTAGTAGTTAAGGAACCCTCAAGCCGAGTTCTGCACATGGCGCCCAGCCTCGTGGCACAGGTGAGGGCTTCACAGCTGATCTGGGATAATAACTGGACAAGGGGAACTTTAGCTAACTCTCAACCAGGTGCAACCTTGAACTTTTTGAAGATTTAACTACATTACACTAAATAAAGCAAGTTTTCTCTTAGCAATTTCTAAAGGTAAAAGAAAATTATCTGGATAACTAAACATGGGAAGGGAGAGAAGCACTTAGTGCAGGGGTGCCTTACCTGGGGGTGAGAAAAGCAGGATCGCTGCACCCCAGCTCCCCATTGCAGAGGGTCTCTGAGGACAGCTCTACCTCACTGCCTTCCCCATAGTCCTCAAAATGCTCCTCGCCACCAATCACCATGACATCAGCCTGGCCACGGGTGCGAGACCTGCAAAGGCAAAAGAAGAAATTCTGACTCCAGGCCACAGGTACGAGCTGTTTAAGGGAGAGGTGTGCACTGTGCTTTCCAGCAAAAGTGTGCTACAAATGACAAGCTGGTAATGTCATTGTCATGTAAGCCATGTTAAAAGAAAAAAAAAGTAAAAAACAAGTGAACCTGATTTTTGTTTTGTTTTTTGGTACCGGGGAATCAAACTCGGGTCCTTGCCCTTGCAAGGCAGGCGGTGAAACCACTGAGCTAAATCCCCAGCCTCAAATGAACCTGATTTAACAAAATACTTAGCCCACACAAAAACAGTACTGTTTCAAAAATGTGAGACTTTTCACATACTGTTTTCCTTAGGAAGTGTGTGCTGTGCACTCCTGCACATCTTGTCTTCACAGGCCACACTGCCCATGCTGAGGAGCCCGCATTAGGTGGCACAGGTCCATAGAGACCTAGGTCCAGAGCCAAGCACTCAAACTCTGCTTTAGGGAGTGACTATCCTCATGTGGATACTAACTAACAGGGTTCAAACCTCTCTTTTAATTTAAAATTTGGAATAGCAGACTTCCATTGGGAAAGGGAGAGGACTTCCAAGCATCCATGCCACTGTACGGAAAGGGAGGGCAATTCCTCCATACCAACTTTCTGGAAAACCAGAGCTCATAGGCCCGGCTCTAAGATGCTCCAGAACTTGGGAAACACTTGTGATTTTGGCAGCTCCCTGTCAGAGGAAACCTGCAAAGATGACCCTGTGGCAGCTCCACCCATAGCATGAAGGCACTGCCCATAGCAAGAGCATGCAGGAGGTCAGAGCATGCAGTGTCCAGAGCACGCATGCTCAGTAAGAGAGCAAGCTCCAGTGCACACCCACCATCACACCACTGACCAGTGCTGGGCAGCTCAGGATGGATGAGCCCAGTGTTTGAACTCGTGTGCTTTCAGCACAGATGCTGCCTTGCCCTCTGTTTTCCCTGGCAAGGTGCCAGTTACCTGAAGTCATTTGAAGCCTAAAAATATTAAATGGAAAATTCTAGAAATAATTCATAAGTTTTTAGTAACTTTTATTACAGTATAGTTACAATTTTTTCCTACAGTAATTTCTTAGTGTGGCTAACGTACAACCTAAATTTTACTGTATATATAGCAAAAACTGTAGGGTTCAGTACATTCGCAGTTTGAGGCACCCCTGGGGGTCTGGGGTTATACCCATCAGAAAGGAGGGCTCTAGTCCTAGTGTGTTCGCAAACTACCCACTTCACTAAAATGGGCAGGGCACCACTACTTATTGTTCTCTTCACATTATCTCCAACTTGGCCTTTATATGTCAATAATCAGGCAGGGTGACAGGAAAAAACAATTAATTTCCATCCTATTTTCCATTTCTTAATATTAGGTAGTTATTTTAACACACACCCAGATCCTGTATAAGAAAACTCAAATAGGGGAGGGAAAACCACCGGGGGAGAATGCACAAAGTTAGGCCCTCCTGCCACTTGACATCCCTGTCCCATGGAGCCAGCTGGGCAAGACCTGCTCCTCCCCCAGAAAGGGCATGAGGGGCTGGATGACCTCACCTCTCCCTCCACCCATCCCCATGTCTAATGGAAGCAGACAAGGGCCATGCTTATTGTGTAAGAACCAAGAGGCTCAGACCACTCTCCCTGGCCTGGATGTCCTGAATCTGGATGAGCCAAACACACTTCCTCACTAAGTCCACAGAAAACAGGTGATCAATTCCTTGTCACTAGCAAGTTTCTCAAAACATTTGTCCTCCAGATTTTTTTTTTTTTTTTTTGACATAAGATCTCACTATGTAGTTTAGGCTGGCAGGGTGTGGTGTGCATGCCTGCAATCCCAGCATTCAGGAGGCTGAAGCTAGCCCAAACTGTATAGTGAGACTTTGTCTTGAAAAATCATACAAAGAGAACTAGTGAGAAAATAGAAAAAAAAGAAAAGAAAATGTTTCAAACTGCCCCTGGTATTTAGCTTGACAGCCTCAAGTTCAGAGACTTGCCAAGATTTGGCATTTGTTTATTTACTTGACTCAAATTAAATTTAAATACAAGAGTTTGGCTTAACTTTAAAAATACTTGTAAGAAAAGATGTGGGCAGACATAGCAATCTTTTCCCTAGAACTTCATGATAGCCCTGTTCCACCCCTTCCCACAGCAAGCCTCAAATGCCAGTGTCACCTCACACTCATCTCCACGTATACTCGGGTCTGCATTCCTGGCAGACATATTTCCTGGTCTCCACAGAGCCAGGCCTGCCTCAGCCCCACCTGGATACACATCCCACCCATCTCCTCAGACAATCATACCCCATGCAACACCAAACTGAAAACCAAAATAAATAGTGGGAGATGTTATGTTCAGGGATCTGTAATATTGTGAGGGTGCTGAATCTCAAGTTAATCTATAGGTCAACAAAATCCTAACCAAAATCCCAGCAGTGCCCCCCGCCCCTCAGAAACTACAAGCTGATTCTAAAACCCACTTGGAAATGTAAAGAGCCAAAAGGCACCAAAGCATCCCTGACAAATAAGGCGGGAGAACTTATACCAGCAGACAGCTTGACCTGCAATCATTCTAGGATAAAGAGACAGGGTGGCGTTGACCCAAGCGTGGACAGAATGCAGCAGCTCACACAAAGCTGCCTCACAGGATCAATGACAACCACAACAGTAGAGCAAAGAAGAATCTTTGAAAATGGAGACCAACTGTACTAGATACCATCTGGGAAAAAAATGAACCCTACCTCACATCACACAAAGAAACAGTTATAATGCTTGCCTAGTGAGTACAAGGCACTGGGTTCAATCTCCAGCACCACCCAAGGGAGAGGGGAGGGGAGGAAAGAATCTGAGAAGGAGGGAGGAAAAGAACCAGTTACATAGTGATCATATGTGTCTAAAACAAGAAGGTAAAACAGTGTTTTTAAAGGAAGGCAGATGTAAACATCAGAGTAACTGAAAAGTAAAAGATTTCTTTTTTTCTTTTTTGGTTTAGTGGTACAAGGGATTGAATCCAGAGTCTCATGCATGTTAGTCTAGTGTTCTACCACTCTACTGCATCTCCAGTCCAAGATTTCTTAAATGAGATACAGAAGTGCTAATCATAAAAGAAAAACGGACAGACCATACTACAGTAAAATTAAAAACATCTGCTCTTCAAAGACACCACCAGGAAAGTAAGAGAGACCAGAGAGTAGGAAAAGGTCTCTGTAATACACATCCACTAAAGAACTCAATTCTGAAATAGGCGGAGTCCCACAAATCAGCAGAAAAGAGGCAACACAACAGACCAGGGGCGGGACACACCCTGCCATGATCTGCTTTTGCAGACAGTGGTTCTGGGGCACGCATCCAGGCCACCTTGCTGACGTGTGGTCTGTGGCTGCTTCTGTATCTCAACAGCAGAGCTTAGCACAGAGACCACAAAGCCTGTAAGCAGAAACACGGACAAACTCTCTGGCATTGTACAGAAGTCTGCAGATCTCTGAAAAAAAACAAATAAACAAACAGATACTTTACAGAAGAGGAACACCCAGGAAGGGTGCTCAGCCTTCAGGCATCTATGAAATGCCAGAGAGAACTACACTGCAGCAGAGCTATAGGCCCAGAAGCTGAGCATGAGCCAGCAGTTCTGGGACCCCACACATCGGGCAGGGGTGAAGATACTCTAACCCCTTTGCAGATGTCTGTAGCTGCAAGTACAGCAGGCAATGTAACTGCAGGTACATTCTCTCAGCGACCCACTATCCCACTCCCAGGAACAAGGTCCCAGGACACCTAGATGTTTATAGCAGTTATATTCTAAAAACCAAAAACAGTAAGGTACCTAAAATGTCCCTTGATATTAGAATTTAAAAATTGCAGCATATTAATATAAAGGAATACTATAATAACAATAAGTGATATGTGACTATGAACAAAAAATGGGGGGGCTGGGATTTAGCTCAGTGGTTCCGCTGCCTGCCTCGCAAGTGCAAGGTCCCGAGTTTGATCCCGGGTAAAAATAAATAAACAAACAAACAAACAAATAAATAAATAAATAATGACTTTCATAGCCACAGCAGTAGTGAAAAAAGCCAGGTGCTACTGTGTACCTGCATTCATGTAAGATGGGAAACTGGGCAAGGCTTGCTGCCCTGGGAACCCCAGTGCTGGTGAGGTCCAAGGGCACTCTGGTGCAGCTGTGATTTTCTTAGCCTGGGAGCAGAGACATGGTGTGGTCAGTGTGGGGAACCAGCTGGCCATGCACTGGTGGGGCACTTAAGACACTTATAAGTGTGCTATATACTGGAGAGAAAATAAAACTGTGAGGGGGTAAATGAACAGAAATAAAAGAGGAAACACAAAATTAAAACACTTCTAAGCCTACTAAGCCTAGTGGCTTCTTAGGCAGCTTGAGGTGAGGCTGAGTACAACCTCCTTCCATCTGCCACTTCAGCAAACTCCCTGCAAGTCTTCATCACAAGGCTAAAGACATCTTGGGACGGGGACTAGACACATGGTCTGAACAAGGTGCCATGAAAAAGACATTCACTCAGTGTTGTGTCCTCCAGCCCTGGCTTTAAGACCTGTGCTGACAAAATCCAGAAGATTGAGTTAAAAGTTTGCCTCACGTTATGTAACATAATCAGGGTCCTCACAGGCAGGAAGGACACTTCCTGGTGGGGAGACAGTGGAAGAAGAGACAGTAGCCTTGCTCTGTGGGTGATTCTACACAGAGGACAACCCACCAGGGGGGCTGGCATGGTACAGACCTGCCTGGAAGCAGCAGCAGTGCGCCCTGGTCAGTCTCCTCCATGGTGTCCAGGCACTCAGAGGGCACAGCTGAGCCACCTGCGCTGTCAGCGTCCCCCTCAGGATGCAGTTCAGGGTGCACGAGGGTGCTGGTATCCTCATCAGTGAAGGTCTCACACTCACTGTAGGTGCTCTCCGAGCCCATATATGCACTGTCTGTCACCTCAGTGGCCTAGGGGAAAGAACGAACAGTTACCATGGAGGCCTTACTGTGGAAGGCCATGCTGTGGGAGTGATGAGGCGGCCAAAGTCCCAGCCACATCTCCAAACAGGCACTCACTCAAAAAACAGGATTCATGGATTTTTTTTTTAATTATTTATATTTCGGGTGCTGGGGATCATACCTAGGGCCTCCCGTATGCTAGACAAATTTCCTGTTATTGAGCTACATCCCCAGTGCAACAATAGTTTTGTTTTTTTGAGACAGAGGCTTGCTATGTAGCCCAGGCTGGCTTTGAACTCATGGTAATCCTCCTGCCTCAGCCTCCCAAGTGCTGACATTACAGGAATGCACCACTACACCCAGCCCAACTATATTTTCTTATTTTATTTTATTTTTGGTACTAGGTATCCAACTCAGGACCTTGTACTTGAGAAGGAGGCATGGTGCCACCGAGCTGAATTCCTGGCCCTTGACTAGTTTTTAAAATGAAAAACAGGCACATGCCCAAGAGCAGACAAGAATACCTGGAATCATTTTTAAAATCAGTTAAGGGGCTGGGGACTTAGCTTAGTGGTGCTGCCGCCTGCCTCGAAAGTGGAAGGTCCCAAGTTCAATCCCTGGCACCAAAAATTTAAATAAATAAATAAATAAAATTTAAAAAAATAAACAAAGTCAGTAAAATAAATCTACTTAAGTACCCCAATATCAGATACTGACAGAACCACACCTGTGGCTTCTAGCATGGGAACTACTCATATCCACAAAATTAATATCCAGTAGTGTAACAATGTACCTTTTTAAATTAAAAAGTCACCATCAACAGCTGTTTGTATGTTCAGAATATTTCTCTGAAATTCAAAGTGAAATCTAAAATCAAAATACTCATTAATCAAGTCCCAGGGATTTAGCTCAAGCACAAGGTCCTGAGTTTAATCCCCAGTACCAAACAAAACAAAACAATACTCATTAATCAGCTGGGCGTGGTGGCGCACACCTGTAAGCCAACTCTTGGGAGACTGAGGCAAAAGGATCATTGTGAGTTCAAGGCCAGCCTGAACGACATAGTCAGACCGTGATTAAAAAAAAAAATTCATTAGTTACCTAGCTAATTTTGTTGACTGGTTAAATGTTTACCTATCCAGTAGATAGACCTGTTTTTACTTTTATGTACCCAGCACCTACCACAGGCCTGGCATATAGTGGACAGTAACATTTGTAGATCAAACAAACTTAAAACTAAAGCATCGTCAAACTGGATATTTTCAATTTATGTCAACCTCCATTAAAATGAAGTTGCAGGTTAGAAGTAGCCCCATTTTATGCTGAGAAGATCTGAGGTTAATAATTTACAAACAAACAAGATCTCAGAAAAGCTGCAGTACTAGCAGGAAAATGATGCCCTTTGTACTCTGGGTCTGGAATTACCAGGAGTATGAGGCACAGAGGGCTGCCCAGAGGACTCCCCAGGTACACCTAAGCCGCTGAACCTCATCTGGGGAGACTTGGGCCTGGGCTGTGTGCTGCATGGGAGGTCTTGCCTTCATCCTTGCCTACTACTGAAAACTTGTGACCTTACGACACGTGACTCAACCTCAGAGCCTCTTCCGTAAACTGGGCTATAGATAATAATCTCACAGGCATCCACCTTAAGGCACTGAATAACAAAACCAGGTGCACTGCAAAGTACTAAAAATGAGACTGCAGGCTGTCCACTTCTAGAGGCGGAAACCCAGCCACTGTTATAAAGCCAGAGTAAGACAGAGTGCAAGCAATATGCTCACTGCAGGTGTCTGGCGGGTCATCACATTTCGAAGGGAAAATCCAATCCTCCCTAGAGTCTAAGGAAGTCATTCATAAAAACTAATCCATAGACTGCATCCACTTCAAAATCCAAAACCAGAAAGTCACCCTAACAGGTGGTAGCTCCAGTTTTACACATCATTAGAAACAACTCTCTCTCCAGAGTAAGGCCAACCAGGACCACCACCTCACACGGCTACCCCCACTACCCTGTGCAGGGCCAACACAGCACAAACTGCTGGCTTTAGGTGAGGGGAAGACTGCTAATCACCTTGACAGAACTGTATATTCACAGGGGACATGCTACTAGCAGATAGATCACAGTTACGAACACACCCACAGGGCACTAGGGAAACTCTCCACAGACTCCTAAGAAGCCTGAAAATTAACAGGAAAGACGAGATTATTCTCTTCAGTATTTAGCCAAAAACTTCTAAGAACATTGCTCTTGGTCACAAAGACAGTCCCACCACCCTCATGGGACCTACAACCAAGCAATCAGTGCTGAACGAAAAAGTGGGGAACCCTCACCACCAGGGCTGAGGAGGCCCCAACACTGATGGGGTACTGCTCTTCCAAAGACCCTGAGAGAGGGTTTCCCGTAAACAACAGAACTTGACCTCTGAGGCTTGCAGAGGATTTTTATTTCTTGCTTTTTTGTGGTGATATTGGTAAAGACTGAGGTGTGTGGGCACCAAGCACGGTGGGCAAGTGCTCTTCCACCGAGCCGCACACCCAGCTCGAGGCACACTTTTAAAAAAAGTCAACCTTGGGCTGGGGATGTAGCTCAGTGGCACTGTGCCTGCCTTGCAAGCACAAGGTCCTGAGTTTGATCCCCAGTAACAAAAAAATTTAAAAATTTAAAAAATAAATAAACAAGTCAACCTTAGGGCTAGGGTTAGCTCAGTGGTACTGCCATCTGCCTCAAAAGCTCAAGGTCCCAAGTTCAATCCCAGGTACCTGGAAAAATTAATTAATTAATTAATTTTGTAGAAAGTCAACCCTGTTTCTGACAGGCACCAGGACTCCTCTTAGGTCATGTGGACCTTGGGCTCCCAAGGGGCAGCTAAGGTGTTTTAAATAATAAATCAGTGTTTTCTCAACCTCAAATGCAGTTCAAACTCTTCATGTTTCTGCTCCCAGGAAGGGAAGGAAGTCTAACGCTAGAGCCAGCTCCTGTCACAGAGCTCTTGTCCTGCCCAGGTGGGTGCAGGGGGCACAATTACTGATGCTGAATGGTGGGGAAAATGCCTAACTCTGAGTCTTCATCCTCTCTGTACCAGAAGCAAGGTGTTCTGCCAAGCCCTGCATTTGGGCAACTGTTTGCCCCTCCCTACCTCTCCCTTCCCTCATCCATTTCTAAAATGTGGGATCACGCTAGGTGTGGTGGCACACACCTGTAGTTCCAGCACTCAGGAGGCTGAGATAGGAGGATCATCATGAGTTTGGGCTAGCCTGGGCTATATATAGTGAGCTCAAGGTCAAACTGTACTACAAAGTGAGACCCTGTCTCAAAACAAAACAAAACAAAATAATAATTATAATGAATATTTTTTTAAATGAGACATCCTCCTGTACCTCACCACTGCTGCAGAGGAGCTAAAGCAAGTCACAGGACGTGAATACAGCTTGCACTTACTCCTTTATCTGCTATAAATAAACAGAGTAGCAAAGGCAGGATCTCACAGTACTGGTATAAACACTCAGATGCCCCCAGTTGACCAGGGAGCAAAGAACCTTTTAACTGGAAATAAGATGCTCCAGGGAGGGAACAGCCTAGACGGAGGGAAAGGGAACCCAGTTCACAGGCACTATATGGGCCTACTTCCGCCTAAGAATCATACCTGCAGCCAGCTGCTACTGGAAGGATTGCCCTCAGTGGTATCAAACCAAGTAGCAAATTAGTTTTCAGGGAGGACTTTCCAGTGAAGCACAAAAACCAATCTGAAGCACAGAGAATGGCCTCACCCTGCCAAGTGATGTCTGTCATGCAAATAGGACCTCCGTTTGCTCAGAAGCCAACAGATCTATGCTACCAATTTCTATTCTTCTTAAATTGTCAGTCATTTTAATCACGTTAAGTAACAATGCATTTTAAGTAGTACACCTATCTCTACATATAAAAAACTTATTGTTTCTTAGTATTTTATCAGTTAAGAAAAAAGAGCCAGAGTCAGGGATTTAACTCAGTGGGGCCACGCCAGCCTCGGAAGTACAAGGTTCTAAATTCAATTCCCAGTCCTGGGGAAAAATGAGTCAGAGGGCTGGGGGTGTAGTTCAGTGGTCCTGTGCCTGCCTGGCTGGCAAGCACAAGGTCTTGAGTTCGATCTCTGGTACAAAAAAGAAAAAGGAGCTTGGCATGATGGCGCACACCTCTAATCTTGGCACTCAGGAGGCTGAGGCATTAGGATCACTGTGTGTTTGAGAGCAGCCTAGGCTACATAGTGAGTTCAAAACCAGCCTGATCTATATAGCAAGACCCTGTCTCAAAAAAAAAAAAAAAAAAAGAGCGCTGGGGATTTAGCTCAGTGATTCCACTGCCTGTCTTGCAAGCTCAAGGACCTGATTTCGATCCCCATTACCAAAAAGAAAGAAAAATGGTAATTTTGAAAGGGCATTAAAAAAAAAAATCAAAACAAATCAAATATCCATTGATCAGTTGCATGTGTAAAAAATAAATCAGTCCATTAGAAACACATGGTTTGTTTTTGTGCTACTGGGGATTGAACTCAGGACCCTGACCATGTGAGGCAGAAGCAGTACTGCTGAGCTAAATCCCCAGCCCAAAAACACATCTTTTAAAAACCTGATCTATTCATATTTTAAATCTTTTAAGACTTGATGTAATGGAATTATCCAAATATACTGCTTTAACACGTTTTATCAACTCAGGATGCCATAATGTAATACATCACTTTGTAAAAAATACACGTTTACTTGAGAAGTTGATTTTACTTCATATTTAATTCTGTTTTCCTTAACTTTACTCTAAACTCTGTATTTCTATTGGAAATAATTTAACCTCAAGATACAATAAAATATTCTCTGGAGAACATTTAAGATTTAAAAAAAAAGATTTTTAAAAATAATACCCACAATTAGCCACAAGTAATGAGACAAATAGTTTGAAATGTTAGGTGTAATAATATATGATAAAATCAAATACACTAAGCTGGAAAACAGCACCCTTCACTTGTCCATTTCTCTCTAGAATTATATGCAATTTTGGTAGCCCAAACTCAGTTTTCTAGCTCATGTGAAAGCTGTTTACTTTGGATTAGAAAGAATGTGACTATGATTAAATTGGGGAAAAGAATAAAACCAGATTAATTTTCCACCTATATAACTCATTAAACTACGGAGCACTGACAAAGGAAATATTATTCACTTATAACTAGAATAAGGAAATTTTGTTATGATATAGATATCTAAAGATTATATTTCAAAAAACAGTAAGGCATATAAGAGTAAATAATATGTCATCTGTGTAAGGAATAAGAGTATATATTTGTATTTTCTTATATTTACATAAAGAAAGATTAAAATATATAATAGTAAAATGGATACTTATAAGGGAAAAGATGGAGATATTTTTACATTGTTTTGATTTTTTGAACCAGATCAATAATACATTCTTTTAAAAAAAGGCCCCACTAGATAAGAGAAAAAAATTAGAAATACATGATCACACCAAAAATAAATAAAATGCTTCAAATGAGAAATAAGTGGGAAGAATCATTCCTGAACCTCACTGTAAATTAGAGGTATACTTTTATGAAAACAGATGAGAGGTATTGAGCTGTAATATAAACTCTCAATGACATAAATTTTCTATGTTGTATATTCTTGTAACTTCTGTTTGGTAATGTAAATGTAACCAGTAACAGCAGAAAGAGCGTGGCACAAGGAAATAGGAGACAAAGTTCTAGTTCCAATACTGCTATTAACTGTCTGTATGGCTCTATGATGTTAGACAGCAACTTCCCAAAGCCCCCTCTCCCTGCCAATTAAGGGCATGCAGAAGTGATCTTTATGGTCCTTCGGTGACTGAGAATTGAATCCAGGGCCTATATATCAAACTACATTCCAAAGCTCTTTTTCAATTTTTTATTTTGAGATGGATCTCTATAACTTCCCCAGCCTGGGCTTGAATTTATGATCCTCCTACCTCAGCCTCACAAAGTGCTGGGATTATAAGGATGTGACACTACGCCAAGCTAGATTCTATTATTCTTAAATTACCTGCTGTGTATTTTGTCCTTCAAACCAGACTGCTATCACAAGGTTTCCATTGCATTATCTTCTGGGCCTAGTAGAGAGCTTTGTAGAGTTGGGATGTAGCTCAGTAGTAGAGTACTTACCTGGTATGCAAACACACATGTTTTATCTACAGTTAAGTGTAAGGGAAGGAAATTTTAATTTTATATGCATGAATTTGGTGGTAATCACTACAAATGCCAAGAAATGTGGAAGCTATTAAAAGCAATCAAGGAGGCTAGAGATGTAGCTTAGTGGTACAGCACCCCTTGTCTAGAAGGTGGTAGGCACTGGGTTCAACCCTCAGCACTGCAAACAAAAGCAATCAATATAAAAGGCAGATCATACTCTTCTCTCTACTCTTGGAGTGCTTGAAATTTTCTGAACAAAGACTGAATAAAGCAGGTTGGACACCTGCCTTGCAAGCACAAGGTCCCAAGTTCAATCCTACATACCAAAAAAAAAAAAAAAAAGCATGTTGGAGATACATATGCTACCAACTTCTAAAATCTTTACCAATCATCAAAGTTAAAATGAACCCACAAGAAAACCAACATGCACCTGAGAAAACTTCACAGTGTGTTAAGGTTACAGTCACCGTTTAACACAGGTTATCAAGTGGGCCCAACAGTGCCCAACAGTACCCAATGTCCAGGTCTGGTGCCATCATTCATCCATTCATTCATTAGACCAAGAACTGAACCCACGACCTTTGCACTAAGCTACATCCCCAGCCCTTAAAAAAAATTTTTTTTTTTATCTTGAGGGATTGGGAATTTAGCTCAGGGGTGCCTTGCCTGCATGGCAAGCACAAGGTCCTGAGTTCAATTTCTGGTACCTGCCCACACCCTTTTTTTTTTGAGACAGGGTCTCACTATGTAGTTGAGAATGACCTGGAACTTATTATGTAGCCCAGGCTGGTCTTGAACTCACAGAGATCCTCCTGCCTCAGCCTCTCGAGTGCTGGGATTACAGGCATGTGCCACCATGCCTGGCTCCCCCACCCCCATTTGTTTAACTCTTGAAATAGGTTCTCACTAAGTTGCTCAGGCTGGGCTCAAATGTGGGATTTTCCTGCTTTAGTTCCCCAGAGTGATGGAATTAAAGGCATGTGCCATCATGCCAAGCTCATTTCTTCTGAAACTGAGTTCTGGGCACAGTGCACGCTGGCGTCTCTTCTTACCCTCAATGCTCTTTGGGGGGTCTCATGGGCCTGGTTCTGTACACGGGCTCCAGGATGGGTCCACTGCTGGAAATGGCCAACCCATCTTATCTCCAGTCCAGACCAGTCACGGGCTTCTTTTAACTGACAGCGTTGTTACCTTCCCATCTGCTAGTCTGTACTGGGGTTTCTTGTAAAACTGTCACCCACCAGAAGGCATCTCAGCTTTAGAGAAAGTTTAACTTGCTCCTAGATACGCTCTATTACACCTCCCACTGAAGCTGGTCAAGGAGGGAGAAGCAAAGTACAGGAAGTGTCCTTGATAGTTTTAACAAACAAAAGGCTCAAAACAGAGTGGCTTTTGTTTTATACTTTGTAACTTTCTGATCACAGTTTGTACAAGACACATTTCCCACAATTTCACTAAGACAGCCTTTTCTATCAACCCAAAAACGGGTGGGGGATGAGACGGATGGACACACACAGCAGGCTCTGTTGCTCTGGCCTGCCCTTGGTGGCCTCCCCGCTGCTCCGCAGAGCTCCAGATGAAGGGCTCTACCCCACATACTCATCCTTCCCCCACCTCTAAGGCTCAAGGGCTTTCTTCCCATGACCATCCCTGTGAAAGCCCCTAGTGTTTCCCCATCTGACTTGAGACACACCAGCAACCTTCTGTGGCATAGAGTCCTCAGAGTGGAGAGTGGCAAGAGCCAAGACCTGCCCTCTGCAGGAAGCTGCAGCTCATCAGTAATGAACCACATATGAACCCCTGACCCACACAGCATCTGAAGAATGTTCCCAGACAGAAGAAAGGGGTTTGACCAAACAATTTTCAGGAAATCAAGAAAAGGTTCATTTGTCTCTGAAGATGACTGGCGAAAAGGCTTTGAATATATCTGAATGTGGCACATGTTCTCCACTCACAGAAGTATGTAGACCTTTTAAAATTACATGATGTAGAAGCCAGGGATTTAGCTCAGTGGTGCCACCGCCTACCTTGAAAGCGCAAGGTTCTGAGTTTGATTATGGTACAAAAAATAAAAAGTAAAAAATAATTACATGATGCAGCCCGGTATGATGGTCTACACTTATAAACCCTGCATTTGGAAGGCTGAAGCAGGAGGATCACTGTGATTTTGTGAGTTTGAGGCCAACCTAGGATACACAGTGAGTTCAAAGCAAGACCCTGTCTCAGAAAACCAAACAAAACAAAAAAAATCAAAACCATGATGACTAAACTTTCTTTGAACTTGCTTTTTAAAAAGAGCAATTTTCATTTTTCAGTAAGTTTCATAGTAACGTCTAATTACACCTGCTTGAAATTACACCCACAAATCTTAAAAAAAAGAAGCAAGAATGGAGGAAACCTAAAATCTGTGAAAGAAAAGTCAGTCTGAGAAGCAGACATCTGTTTGAGACCAATTCTACAACTCTGGAAAGGCAGTGTCATGGCCTTGGAAATAGAGCAGGAGCTTCAGGGCTGGGTGGCAGAGCACAGGGAGCTTCTGCAGCAGGAAAGCTGCAGTCTGTGAGGCTGTCCTGGTGCTGAGACACATCTCTCACCTGTTAGAACCACAGAATTACATCCCCAGAAGGGAACCCAGGGCCACTATGGATTCTGGTCAAATGCAGCAGTCCTGTGCCATCAGCCACAAAACTACTCCCTGACAGTGCAAGGTATTCATAAACAGGAGAACTGGGTGGAGGAACGCTCTGAAATATCTGTTCCATTTTCTGTAAACTTAAAACTTCTCCAAAATATAAAATACATTAATTTTTTAAAAAATAGATAATAAGGGGCCAGGGATTTAGCTCAGTGGATCTGCCACGTGCCTTAAAAGCACAAGGTCCTCCACAGCCTGCTTCGCAAGCATAAGGTCTCTGGTACCAACAAAAACAAACAAACAAACAAACAAAAAAGCACAAGGTCCTGAGTTCGATCCCCAGTACCAAAAAATAAAAAATAAAATAAAATAGGTAATAAAAGACCTAGGTAGGGGCTGGAGGATTTAGCTCAGCAGTTTGGTAGCCTGCCTTGCAAGCACAAGGACCCAAGTTCAATCCCCGGTACCAAAAAAAAAAAAAAAAAA